ACTTTGTTAACCAATCAAATCAGAGCAATTAAGTGGTAAGCACTAAACTTAGGGGTTGATATTTTGTCTTGAACTATACTTAGTCTGTTTTAGTCATAAACTATGTTTTGTCTTTATTTAGTTATTTATTTATTTTAGTTATTTAGTTATGAATTACATTTATGCGACACTGTGTCATGCACTTTGACGACATTTCTCAACTGACCTTGACCCCCATCTCTCAACTGACCTTGACACCATTTAACACTGACCTTGAGGACAGATGTGCCCAGTGCTACACGTTTTGTTGACGTCAGAGAACTTAGCCACGCCCACACAGGGCAGCCCGTAGCCGCTCTGGGCTGGGTTGTTGCAGGTCCTGGAGTGATGGATGCAAACATTATTATATGCGGGTCAATATACAGTAGATAGGACCAGAGGCGTAGCGACCCTTCCCGGCGCCCGGGGACATACTTTCAATTTGGCGCCCCCTTTGGAGCAAATTTTCGATTTGCACCCCCCCCCCCCCTCGAACTTTTCATTTAGGACATTATTTGGCTAGAGCAGGGGTCGGCAACCTGCGGCTCTTTTGATGTCAAGTTGCGCCTCTTCAGCCCCATGCACAAATATTAATAATTATTATTTTTTTTTTACTTTTATTTCCAAAACTCATACAAATATTAGACTGCAACACTGTAATAAACGACATAACAATTGTTATAAACAATAAACATTCACTATTCTATTAGAATATTTAGTTACTCCCTATCTCGGTGTACTTCCTATTATATTGTCCTTTTCGAATTGAAATATTCAACTTCACAAAGAAACTAAACCAGCTAAGTGTAAAACCGAAAGGAAAATCTAGCATATGTCTTGCTTGAAAAGGTGATTTGTTTCGAAAAACAAATCGTTATAAAACCAATGCTTCTATTCAATCACTTCAGCATTAATATAAACAAAATGAAGGGTGTTGTCACGGAGAGATTTGATTTTGAGCTATTCAAAACAAATGCAAATACTCTTAGTTACATAGTAGATCCTCTCAACACAAATTTAAATGAGATTATCTCATATATTTAAAGCTATTTTTTAAAAATTATATATATATATATATATATATATATATATATATATATATATATATATATATATAGTATGATATTTGTTTAGGATTATATATATATACTAAACAAATATACTATTGACATAAAAATGTTAGTGGCTCTTTAAAAACCGGGTAATGTTGTAAATTATAACTTTTGGCTCTTTCGTCTCAAAATGTTGCCGACCCCTGGGCTAGAGGAATCAGATGTTATATGCAGGTCAATATTCCAGCATATGGGACGGTGTGGTCGGGTGGTAGAGCGCAATACTGATAACCCGGAAGTCTCGGGTTCAGATCCCGAGCTTGATTCTGTAGGGCGTCCTTGACTCCACCCAGCTCTCAAGAGCTCCTAACTCAAGTTAAGGAAACTACAATTTCCTTCATATGCCAAAGTCAAAGAAACAAGCGAGATCTAATTTATCAAGTGCCCCATGGACCGTCAGGTTCGAAAGTGAACTCTACTATAAAATATCAAGTAATTTTTTTATTTGTGGAGTTTGTGGAGTGGGGGGAGGTGGGGAGAGGTGGGGTGGGTTATTGGCGTGCTGTCGTGGACACGGGGGTCTTGCTCTCTACCACTGGACCACTCAGCTTCACGTACCTTACTCTAACACTCGATCACACAGCTACACATAACAAACTTTCTTAACTCTACCAATTGACCACTCGCCTCCATATAACAAACTTACTTAACTCTACCAATTGACCACTCGCCTCCATATAACAAACTTACTTAACTCTACCACTAGGATACTCAACTTCACCTAACTTACTCTAACACTGAACCACTCAACTACACGTAACAAACGTACCTGACTCTAACACTCTACCACTCAACTTCACGTAACTTACTCTAACACTGAACCACTCAACTACACGTAACAAACGTACCTGACTCTAACACTGGACCACTCAACTTCACGTACCTGACTCTAACACTGAACCACTCAACTACACGTAACAAACGTACCTGACTCTAACACTGAACCACTCAACTACACGTACCTGACTCTAACACTGAACCACTCAACTACACGTAACTTACTCTAACACTGAACCACTCAACTACACGTAACAAACGTACCTGACTCTAACACTGAACCACTCAACTACACGTACCTGACTCTAACACTGAACCACTCAACTACACGTAACAAACGTACCTGACTCTAACACTGAACCACTCAACTACACGTAACAAACGTACCTGACTCTAACACTGAACCACTCAACTACACGTAACTTACTCTTACACTGAACCACTCAACTACACGTACCTGACTCTAACACTGAACCACTCAACTACACGTAACTTACTCTTACACTGAACCACTCAACTACACGTACCTGACTCTAACACTGAACCACTCAACTACACGTAACTTACTCTAACACTCTACCACTCAACTTCACGTAACTTACTCTAACACTGAACCACTCAACTACACGTAACTTACTCTAACACTGAACCACTCAACTACACGTAACTTACTCTAACACTGAACCACTCAACTACACGTAACAAACGTACCTGACTCTAACACTGAACCACTCAACTTCACGTACCTGACTCTAACACTGAACCACTCAACTTCACGTACCTGACTCTAACACTGAACCACTCAACTACACGTAACAAACGTACCTTACTCTAACACTGAACCACTCAACTACACGTAACAAACGTAACTTACTCTAACACTGAACCACTCAACTTCACGTACCTGACTCTAACACTGAACCACTCAACTTCACGTAACTTACTCTAACACTGAACCACTCAACTACACGTACCTGACTCTAACACTGAACCACTCAACTACACGTAACAAACGTACCTGACTCTAACACTGAACCACTCAACTACACGTAACTTACTCTAACACTGAACCACTCAACTACACGTAACAAACGTACCTGACTCTAACACTGAACCACTCAACTACACGTAACAAACGTACCTTACTCTAACACTGAACCACTCAACTACACGTAACAAACGTACCTTACTCTAACACTGAACTACTCAACTACACGTAACAAACGTACCTGACTCTAACACTGGACCACTCAACTACACGTAACAAACGTACCTTACTCTAACACTGAACCACTCAACTACACGTAACAAACGTACCTGACTCTAACACTGAACCACTCAACTACACGTAACTTACTCTAACACTGAACCACTCAACTACACGTAACAAACGTACCTGACTCTAACACTGAACCACTCAACTACACGTAACAAACGTACCTTACTCTAACACTGAACCACTCAACTACACGTAACAAACGTACCTTACTCTAACACTGAACCACTCAACTACACGTAACAAACGTACCTGACTCTAACACTGGACCACTCAACTACACGTAACAAACGTACCTGACTCTAACACTGAACCACTCAACTACACGTAACAAACGTACCTTACTCTAACACTGAACCACTCAACTACACGTAACAAACGTACCTTACTCTAACACTGAACCACTCAACTACACGTAACAAACGTACCTTACTCTAACACTGAACCACTCAACTACACGTAACTTACTCTAACACTGAACCACTCAACTACACGTAACAAACGTACCTGACTCTAACACTGAACCACTCAACTACACGTAACTTACTCTAACACTGAACCACTCAACTACACGTAACTTACTCTAACACTGAACCACTCAACTTCACGTAACTTACTCTAACACTGAACCACTCAACTACACGTAACAAACGTACCTTACTCTAACACTGAACCACTCAACTACACGTAACAAACGTAACTTACTCTAACACTGAACCACTCAACTTCACGTACCTGACTCTAACACTGAACCACTCAACTTCACGTAACTTACTCTAACACTGAACCACTCAACTACACGTACCTGACTCTAACACTGAACCACTCAACTACACGTAACAAACGTACCTGACTCTAACACTGAACCACTCAACTACACGTAACTTACTCTAACACTGAACCACTCAACTACACGTAACAAACGTACCTGACTCTAACACTGGACCACTCAACTACACGTAACTTACTCTAACACTGAACCACTCAACTACACGTAACAAACGTACCTGACTCTAACACTGAACCACTCAACTACACGTAACAAACGTACCTTACTCTAACACTGAACCACTCAACTACACGTAACAAACGTACCTTACTCTAACACTGAACCACTCAACTACACGTAACAAACGTACCTGACTCTAACACTGGACCACTCAACTACACGTAACAAACGTACCTTACTCTAACACTGAACCACTCAACTACACGTAACTTACTCTAACACTGAACCACTCAACTACACGTAACAAACGTACCTGACTCTAACACTGAACCACTCAACTACACGTAACTTACTCTAACACTGAACCACTCAACTACACGTAACTTACTCTAACACTGAACCACTCAACTTCACGTAACTTACTCTAACACTGAACCACTCAACTACACGTAACAAACGTACCTGACTCTAGTCCAAAAGCTGACGCCACATGTTGCTAAACATTTGAAGTCTTCCCAGTCGCCCCATTTCCCATGAACTGTAATAAAATTAACATAATATAAGACATCCCATTTCCCATGAACTGTAATCAAAATATCATAACATAAGCTTTCCCATTTCCCATGAAAAATTAGCAAAAACATCTGTCGCCCCATTTTATCAAGCAGGCGAATCGAAGTTGAAAGGAAAACATATGTTAATATTACACATGTTTCGAATGGTTGTATACCTATCTTTTTATTTTTGTATCAGGAGATAATTCATCTGTTTAGAATTAAATCCGATATTAAGTGTATGATAACTTCAATGGAACGAAAACATCTCAAATTTTAGTAGACAAATTTCGTTTAGTTTTAATTTGAGTTTATGCTTTAGTTATTAAGTAGCCAATTCAACTTTAAATGAGAAACGTTAGCCCCCGTTTTAAAAAAGAGACGGATTAATAGAATATTGATTCATTATTATATACCGCCCACAAATGTGTGTGAATCAATGATTATTATCTTGTATTTATATATATATATATATATATATATATATATATATATATATATATATATATATATATATATATATATATATATATATAGGCCTATATCAATATCAATGTATATATAACATGAGATTTTTAAAAAAAGACGGGCTTAATAAATTTAACCAGTAATTACTTTGAAAACAAATTAGCTCTACAACTGAACAGATAATAGGATGTGCAACCTGCGGATAATCTCACCTGTCTTAGGATACACCAAATCCTCATCCACCAAACCATCGCCGTCATCATCTAAAATATCAAGGTACATGTTTTCAATGAGTTATTGAATGGTATCATTAAAAGTTGTTTTTTTTTTCATTTTTATTTTCGTTAACAAATAGAATATAAGGTCTAGCTTCATGTTTAAAAAAAAATGTCTCCTCCTTAAAAAATTAGAGCAACCGAGTCAAAAGATGAATCAACGTCACTGATTTAATAAATTGAATGCTTTAGATGCCATGTCGTTATGTCATAGGATTAAAACGTACGGTTTTTTAAGCCACCATAATATATGATCAGGATCATAAGTAAAGATTACATCTAAGTCATCTTAAACGTCTGTTAAAGTGTATAGCATATATATATATATATATATATATATATATATATATATATATATATATATATATATATTTATTTATTTATTTATTTATTTATTTATTTATATATATATATGAATGAAAGAACTATTGACCTTTTCCATTATCCATCTCCTCATCCACCCTCTGGTCACCGTCGTTATCCACCAAGTCACCACTGGCCATTGTTACGTCACTAGGCTCGCTCTGTGGATGGACTCGTTAGTTTATAACAGGGGTCTCCAAACTACGGCCCGCGGGCCGAATGCGGCCCGCTAAGTCCTCTCATCCGGCCCGCGGAGATCTTTTTGTCCAAGGAAAAATAATTTGTTTGTTATGGCTGAGGAACTTTGCCCAGAAAAATCAAAGACATGCCTGGAAGAAACTGGCCCCCGAACTGAAATTTGATAGTTAATGCGGCCCTCGGACGAAAAGTTTGGAGAACCCTGGTTTATAACACACGGCATTATAACCCTAACGCTGTATAACAAACGGCATTTTAACCCTAACACTGTATAACAATCGGCATTATAATACTAACACTGTATAACACACGGAATTGTAATCCTAACACTGTATAACACTCGGCGTTTTAATACTCACACTGTATAACACACGGCATCATAATACTAACACTATATAACACACGGCGTTATAACCCTAACACTATATAACACTCGGCATTATACTACTAACACTATATAACACACGGCGTTATAAACCTAATACTGTATAACACACGGCGTTATAACCCTAGCACTGTATAACACTCGGCATTATAATACGAACACTGTATAACACACGGCATTATAATCCTAACACTGTATAACACTCGGCATTATAATACTAACACTGTATAACACTCGGCATTATAATACTAACACTGTATAACAAACGGCGTTATAACCCTAATACTGTGTAACACAATACATTTTAATACTAACACTGTATAACAAACGGCATTATAACCCTAATACTGTGTCACACACTACATTATAACCCTAACGCTGTGTAACACACGCCATAAACTATCTCAATTCAAAGAACGTTTCACTGGGAAGTATTTTTAAGCTGACAATAATACATGGGCTTTGTCGGTTAGTTGGTGTGCTAAATGAAATAAGTTAAACACAGGCATATCACTCTATCTAAGTATAATACATATCCATATGGTGTATTTGTGTGTATCTGAATGTGTATGTGTGTGTATGTATATTGTGTGTGCATGTACCGTGTACATCTTTGAGACGATGTGTGTGTGGATGTTTGTGCGCGTATGAGTGTATACGTATATGTGTGTGCGTGCAAACCCATATTTTCACCGTGTTTATCTTTGAGTCTTTGTGCGTGTATGGGTGTATATGTGTGCGTGTATGCGTGTATGTGTGTGCGTGTGTGAGTGTATGTGTGTGCGTGTGTGTGTATGTGTGTGCGTGTATAAGTGTATGTGTGTGCGTGTGTGCGTGTATGAGTGTATGTGTGTGTGTATGAGTGTATGTGTTAATTTTGAGACTAATACATCCACTTGGTGCATGTTTGTGCGTGTATGTGTGTATGTGTGCGCGTACGAGTGTATGTGTTTATGTGGGTGCGTGTATGAGTGTATGTGTGAGCGTATATCAGTGTATGTGTGTGTGTATGTACCTATCGTGTTAATCCTTGAGACTATCAACCATAAATGTTCTATGTGTGTGCGTGAATGATTGTATGTGTGTGCGTGAATGATTGTATGTGTGTGCGTGTATGTACCTACCGTGTTTATCTTCGAGACAATGAACCCCACATGATGCATGTACCCGTTCTGCTGGGTGAGGTTGACACCAAACACAATACATCCAAACGTGGCACCTGTACGCGTGTAGGCCTGGTGGGTGCCGATAGAAAGGTTCATGAATGAGTACCTCCATGTCTCTCCAGCTCTATGCCACACCCAGCTGCTGTTGAACAAGTGTTGGAAAAGGCCGATTATTCGGCGCATATATATATATATATATATATATATATATATATATATATATATATATATATATATATATATATATATATATATATAGCAATATAGTTATATCGATAATAATATACATATATATTCATATATATATATATATATATATATATATATATATATATATATATATATATATATATATATATATATATATATATATATATAGCAATATAGTTATATCGATAATAATATACACATATATATATATATATATATATATATATATATATATATATATATATATATATATATATATATGTATATATATATATATATACATAATTATACATATTATAATATACATAACATAGACGTAACTCCTGAACTTTGAAGGTCACGTTCTAATTCCCCCATCCCCGCCCATTAATGCAATCCCCTAGATCTGACTCTGACTGTATTGCTTTAGGGTGACGGTTTAACCCCCCCCCCCTCCTCCCCCCCCCCCCCCCCACCCGCTCCTCACCTTCAGTGCCATCCCCCTAGATTAAACCACGACTGTCTCACTACTTACTCGTTCGTGTCCCGTTCATCAAGAACCAGCTGGCTCTCATTATGCTGTAGAAAGAACACAGCGACATCCACCCACTCGTGTGTCGGGTGCTGATGGGTTCTGTGGAAGACACAGGAAGTGCTAGCATTAATTTTTACTTTATTCGAACCTTGATATAGACTTGGGGGGGAATAGTTGTATCTAGTCAAAGTCCTACAATCTTGATGTTGTATCTAGTCAAAGTCCTACAATCTTGATGTTGTATCTAGTCAAAGTCCTACAATCTTGATGTTGTATCTAGTCACTCACAAAGGTCGACAATCTTGATGTTGTATCTAGTCAAAGGCCGACAATCTTGATGTTGTATCTAGTCACTCACAAAGGGCGACATTCTTGATGTTGTATCTAGTCACTCACAAAGGCCGACAATCTTGATGTTGTATCTAGTCACTCACAAAGGCCGACAATATTGATGTTGTATATAGTCACTCACAAAGGCTGACAATCTTGATGTTGTTTCTAGTCACTCACAAAGGCCGACAATCTTGATGTTGTATCTAGTCACTCACAAAGGCCGACAATCCTGATGTTGTATTTAGTCACTCACAAAGGCCGACAATCGTGATGTTGTATCTACTCACTCACAAAGGCTGACAATCTTGATGTTGTATTTAGTCACTCACAAACGCCGACAATCTTGATGTTGTATCTAGTCACTCACAAAGGCCGACAATCTTGATGTTGTATTTAGTCACTCACAAAGGCCGACAATCTTGATGTTGTATTTAATCACTCACAAAAGCCAACAATCTTGATGTATCCAGTCAAAGTCCGACAATCTTGATGTTGTATCTAGTCACTCACAAAAGCCAACAATCTTGATGTATCCAGTCAAAGTCCGACAATCTTGATGTTGTATCTAGTCACTTACAAAGTTCAACACTCTTGATGTATCTAGTCAAAGGCCGACAATCTTGATGTTGTATCTAGTCACCCACAAAGTCCGACAATCTTGATGTTGTATCTAGTCAAAGGCCGACAATCTTGTTGTTGTATCTAGTCACTCACAAAAGCCAACAATCTTGATGTATCCAGTCAAAGTCCGACAATCTTGATGTTGTATCTAGTCACTCACAAAAGCCAACAATCTTGATGTATCCAGTCAAAGTCCGACAATCTTGATGTTGTATCTAGTCACTCACAAAAGCCAACAATCTTGATGTATCCAGTCAAAGTCCGACAATCTTGATGTTGTATCTAGTCACTTACAAAGGTCAACACTCTTGATGTATCTAGTCAAACGCCGACAATCTTGATGTTGTATCTAGTCACTCACAAAGTCCGACAATCTTGATGTTGTATCTAGTCACTTACAAAGGTCAACACTCTTGATGTATCTAGTCAAACGCCGACAATCTTGATGTTTTATCTAGTCACCCACAAAGTCTGACAATCTTGATGTTGTATCTAGTCAAAGGCCGACAATCTTGTTGTTGTATCTTGTCACTCACAAAGGCCGACAATCTTGATGTTGTATCTAGTCACTCACAAAGTCCGACAATCTTGATGTTGTATCTAGTCACTTACAAAGGTCAACACTCTTGATGTATCTAGTCAAACGCCGACAATCTTGATGTTGTTTCTAGTCACTTACAAAGGTCAACACTCTTGATGTATCTAGTCAAACGCCGACAATCTTGATGTTGTATCTAGTCACCCACAAAGCCCGACAATCTTGATGTTGTATCTAGTCACTCACAAAGTCCGACAATCTTGATGTTGTATCTAGTCAAAGGCCGACAATCTTGATGTTGTATCTTGTCACTCACAAAGGCCGACAATCTTGATGTTGTATCCAGTCACTCACAAAGTTCGACAATCTTGATGCTTTATCTAGTCACTTACAAACAACACCACCTTCATAAGCAGAAACGAACACCAACTCCCCCATAAAAGAACATAAATGAACAGCCCCTTATACACCCTATAAAAGAACAGTCCCTCACGCACCTCCAAGCATAATGGTTACAATAAAGTCCAGTCGGGATGACGCTTGAAGCAGCGAACGCTAACTGATGGCGATCCCCAGCTCCGCCGTTAAACGCGACAGTACAATAGAATGTGTTATTCGACCTCAGTTCAGCCACCTGATTCTGTCCTTCCTTGAAGTTAAGCTATACACAAAAAAAAAAAAAAAAAAAAAAAAAAAAAAAACACATTAACCAACAAGAAAATGAGGCTTATTAACATTCTTTTTTTTTCAGGACAAGCTTTAATACTTACTTGAAAATTCACATACGCATATATATATATATATATATATATATATATATATATATATATATATATATATATATATATATATATATATATATCCATATTTTTATAAATATTCATATATATATATATAAATATTTTATACATGAACGTGTATGTGTGTGTGTGTGCGTGCGTGCGTGTGTGTGTGTGCGTGGGTGTGTGTGTGTGTGTGTTTACTTGTGCAGTAGTACAAAGATTACCTTGTAAGAATGGTTATCGCTCCATCTTATTAAAAATCCCGACTGCTTGACCCCGCCTACGTCTTTATAAAGGATGATTGTCTCCACGGTAAAGAAGATGGACACACAAACAGACTCAAGAGGGAGAACTATGAGGTACTCACGGCCAAAGCAGTCATCAGGGAGATGCATAACTGTGGAGACACTCAGATAAGGCAAAAACCGTGCGGCGTCAAAACGGCCAATGACAAAACGGCCCCCGTCATTACGACTCACGACAAATACGCTCCCGCCATTTTTGCTCACGACAAATAGGCTCTTGTCAATTTGGCTCCCTTCTTTAGAGTTAGCTTATCCAACACTCTTTAGTAATACAACGTATGCATCTCTTGTTTGGCTGGCCTTATTTTTATATTAGTTTACCTATTATAAGAAATAGTATGTTTTAATTTAAGTGTCATCTATCTATGACTTCCATAAATGAGTCGATTATAGGCTGTTCCAACTCAGTGTGTGGGGAGAGGGGTCCACGCTGTACATTCCTACCGGCAGTATGCTTGTAGATTATCAAAAAAAAAAAAAGGTTTTCCTGTAAACATAATGTAGGTCTATATCATACATTTACACCTCAGTGCTCGTTTTTTAGCAACAGATCTTTACTGTTGTAAATTAAATATTATAAACATTTTAGAATTGGTGAAATTTAGCTGTTAAGGGCTTGATTTGTTTGTGAATTGATGTTGTTTCAAAAAAAAAAACAATTTCATTCAGGCATTAAAAAGAGGTTATAGTAGTAGTGGAGGTAGGACAAAATGGTTACTTTTATGCCAATAGTGGTCATACGATTCATTTGTCGGGAGCCAATATGTCGTGAGCCAATTTGTCGGGACTCCATTTGTCGGGAGCCTATATGTCGCGAGTCAATATAACGGGGCCCATTTGACGGGAGCCAATAATTCGGGGCTCTTTTGACGGGGCTATTTTGACTGGATCGTTTTGTCGGGTGTCGATTTGACGGGATCATATTAACGGGGCCTTTTTGTCCCAGGCCGTTATGACAGTGCACCGACAAAAACACAAAAGAAGATCCATACACACTTAAATTACACTCATATATTTTTTTCGTGTAAATTATATATGTATATAATATATATATATATATATATATATATATATATATATATATATATATATATATATATCTAATATATAAAGCTCAGTTCTGTAACGTGTGGCAAAAAACAAAAAAGTTTGTCGTTGACACTTCTACGGATTTAAGTGTTAGATTTTTTATCGTGCTCAAAGTCTAAATTTACGAGTCGAAAAATTACCATTGAAAGTCTTTAAAAACAATTTTCATTCTATTTACTTAGAAGAATAATTTTTAATTATGAACGCGACATAAAATTTTTAAAAAGTGTATCGACGTTTATAAAATTTCTAAAATTGTGTCGGAAATGTATTGACTGCAAGTTACTTCCCTTTAATGAAAAATAAATCCTTAAGAAGAGAGAATTAACATTTTATTACTTTGTTTTTGGTGTTAAGAAAAAAAAAATAATTACACAATTAGCGGGGATTGATTAAGTGCAATGTCGTTAGGTATTTTTAACACTGCCTTTTATTTATTCTATACACTGAACATACTGTTCAATAATTATTATTTTTTTTTTAAATCAATAACATTTAATAAGCCAGGTCCTACAAATCATATACGTTTATTTCTTTCCATTTACGGATAAGCTTGGAGTATTATCATTTTTGTTCACTAAATTGAAACAGGCGCGTCCGCCGGCGCCCCTGCACGGTTTGATTTGGCACCCTGGGCTATCATGTGAGCGCTATGCTGCATAATTTTGTTTTAAACAGTGCGATAGACTATGGATAAGAAAGGTTACTATAGTCTTTAAGTGAATCAAATCCGGGCGTCCTCCGGCACCCCGACAGGGTGCTATTTGGCGCCCCGGGCCTTCCGGTGTACGCTATGGTATCTACGTTCGCGTGAGTTCAAAAGACTATAAATAAGTTATGCACTATAGGCGTTAACTAAGTTCAATCAGGCGGTGACGTCATGGTGCGTCCTCTGGCGCCCAGACAGGGTGCTTTTTGGGGTCCCGGGCCTCCCGTGTTCGGTTTCGCGCCTACGTTCACTAAAGTGAGTGCAAAAGACTATGAATAAGTTGGGGTACTATAGTCGTTTATTAAGTTGAAGTAGGCGATTCAGCCCCGTGAGCACTTTGCGTTTGTATTCGCGTTAGTGTTTTCTTTGTGTTTAGGTTGGGTTTGCGTTAGTGGTTGCGTTTTGATTTGGTTCGTTTTTGTTCTTTCTTTTTTCGTTTTCGTTTGTGTTTTTTTTTCATTGGGTTTGTGTTTGTATTTGTGTTTGAGGTTGGTTTTGCGTTTGGATTTGGTTTGTTTTCGTTTGTTTTTCTTTTGTGTTTTTTTTTCTTTGGGTTTGTGGTTGGTTTTGCGTTTGTATTTGGTTTGTTTTCGTTTGCTTTTTCGTTTGTTTTTTTTCTTTGGGTTTGTGTTTGTGTTTGTGGTTGGTTTTGTGTTTGGATTTGGTTTGTTTTCGTTTGCTTTTTTCTTTGTGTTCGTATTAGTGTTTGTGGTTGTGGTTGGTTTGTTGTAAGTTTTTGTTTTCGTTTGTATTTGTAATTGTGTTAGCGTTATGTTTGCGTTTTGTTGTTTTGGTTTTGGTTGGTTGTGGTTTGGGTGGGCAATGCCGGGTTTATGATGATTACTAAACACACAGGTGATGGTCTTTAACAGAAGGGTTTTTCACAGAAGCCAGAGCAGGGCCTGGCCGGGACGGCTAGTATATATATATATATATATAGAGAGAGAGAGAGAGAGAGAGAGAGAGCGAGAGAGAGAGATAGAGATACATGAAGTAAGAATGAAAAGTAAAACCGAAAGACGTCCGTAAATGACGTCATATTTTGTTTACCCCACCACCATCTTTCTCGCAACACATCATAAATAAACCGGGAGTGATCTCCCCTAAACTTTCTCGAATATTCTTATATAACTCGGAATATAGACATGATTTTTAATTACTTAAACTTTTAAAAATAGAATAGAATCTCGTAGAAAAAAGAATTGCGCACCAAGCGAACGCCGAAACAAAATGTGCATAGTAGTGCGCAATATTATTAGTACTTTATAAATTTACATGCGTTTTTTGAGAAATCGAAAATAGCGTAAATTAGAACTTCCGTTCAACGGAAATTACTCAAAATTTGACATAAGGTAGAGAATTAGATCTTTTACTTACATGTGAAATTTCATTTATCCGTCTGAAACAGAACTCATGTTATAGGCTTTTGAAAAATTCAAAGTAGAAAAAGTACCACTTCCGGTATCGGAAATCGCTCAAAAGTTGATACGCATCTACGATTTTAATAAAATACTTATGTATGAAATTTCATCAACCTAGCTGTAACGGTACTCAAGTTATTATGTTTACACACAGACACACACACACAGACACACAGACATACGGACAAGATTGCAAAATTATGTTTTTCCGTATTAGTGAGGTGTAAAACGTCGAGATTTGTAAAACATCTCGATTTTTTTTTTTGCACGATTACAAGACTATCTCTATATACGAGAAAGTAAAAATATCTCTCCACCCTTAAAATGATGTCATCAAGTCCCCCTCCGCCCCCACCCCGGACACCTTCTTTGCTCTGGAATAGTCAAACAAATGGAAAAAGGGAAACAAAAATGTATCGTCACTATTTGAAACACCCATACAGCTCCCCCCACCCCCAACCTCACACCGATCGTAATCCTTGTCTAACACCATCAACAAATGTGTGACGCCATTTAAAGGCAAGACTTATGACTTTTTTCACTTTAAAAAAAAAACAACCATTAAAAAACCAGAACTGAAAAAATGTCGGAATATGCACTCACATAAGGAAAAATCCCGATCGTCAGCTGAGCCAACACCAGCTTGTACACAGTACCCAGCAATTATCCCAATAGGTTGGACTGACGTCACACTTGTAGGGAAAGCATCTAAAACAGAAGAAACAACAAGTTTTAAAAAAATATATTTCTACTTCTTTTGTTCCGTTCCTAATAGGGCGTGTAAGTAGGTCACAACTTCTCGTTCTAGTACTTGCCAGCTAATAGATTTCAAGACCGTAGACTTACAAGCCCTATTGTAATGGCGTAGATGATTTCTTCCACGAAACTAATGTGTCAACAGTGTCAGGCCTTGCACGGTTGGCTGACTACGACTTCAGCCTGCTTTTACTTTTTGGATTTGCTTCAATAGCTTATGTCCGCCCCAGCAGTGGCGCAACTAGACAAAAGCCCCCCCCCCCCCCGGAATTTTATTTGGTCCCCCTATATAAAAAAAATATATATATATATATATATATATATATATATATATATATATTATATATATATATATATATATATATAAATATATATATAGTTATATATATAGGCATATATATATATATATAACTATATATATATATATATATATATATATATATATATATATATATATATATATATATATATATTTATATATATAGGCATATATATATATAGTTATATATATAGTAATATATATATATATATATATA